GTCAGCTCTAGTCAAAGATTACGCCAGGTTTTTCCTTGTGATGATGGATTTAAACGAGTTCTTTTGTGATTGGAGTTTCGGTAAAAGTTTCTTCTCTTGGAAAGGCCTTAGGACAGTTGACTAAAACCTCAGTTTGTCCTGGTTTGAGATGGAGAAGTTTTCTGCCTCAATGTATGGCTGGGCGATACGGCTGCGAAAACTAATGAGATTTGGTCGATTCTTCGGTCACTTAATGATTGTTTTTTTAAACTTAAAGACAACTCACCCCTCAAATCCACTTTTTTTGCTGATAGACGGTTATAAATGGTTGTCCAATCGTGTTGTCTAACATAGCTGGTCTAATCTTGTCACTTTGGTGCAAAATAGTTGAAAGTTAGACTTTTACTGCCTAAAACGTCTGTGGGCGCCATCTGCTGGCGACCAGTATTACTACATTTTGAATTTTTGAAATCTGGCCGCCAACACTGCACAGAAGTTGGACCTGACGTCTGGCAAGTTGGACCAGACATCAGCAGCCCCCCCGCCAGAGCAATGTAAACGGCCCGTCTCGTTCACGCCCCTTTAGTACCTCAGGCTACGCACTATTAGAGGAAGATTTGCACAGGAAAATGTGAGACGTAACGTAAGCTACCCGAGGAGCGGGGGTGAGAACCACTTTAATAAATGCACTTTGTCGTGTCGCAACACACGTTAGCAGCACATATTTAGTCCACAGGGGAATGAAAACTCAGGCTGGAGGCATATGTTCACAAGCCAAAGTGTCGTCACCTATTGACAGTCCTTGTTTAATCCTGGTTTAGTCCTGGTTTGCTCCTGTTTTCGGCAGTTTTATTTTTGAGTGGTTTTTCGTGTTCTGGCTGCGTTTGATTGTGTCCCGGGCGGCTCTCTGCTGCCTCACGTTTTTCCAGAGGAAAAGTTGTCTCTTGCTTTAGCTGCATGCATCAAGTCTCTCGTACCCACTTGCCTCTCGCCGCACACCATGTTATCCTTCATGGACATGCTAACACCAATGACACAGCATTGAACAAGACGATTATTGACACAGGGCATAGTCTGTCTAGTTGATGTGAGTTTCTTTTTGGTTGGTAATCCCAGACTGCCTTGTGACTTCATGTTGGCGGGTGCTAGGTGCCTGCGCTTCTGACTCGGGCTTTACTCTTATTTTTACGTCCTGTTTTTTTCATGGATGATAATACTGGATAGGGTATTCCTAGATGTCAGCTGTCCACCCTTGGGCAGTGAATAACTGACCTCTCAAAACAATGCCGCTGCCCATGGCAAACGCACCCTACTGCTTGTCATTTCGAAGTGTAAATTATCTTAGTATTTGTCCGGCCATTCGTCGGCACTTATGTCTCCGCGTACAGTGTTACCTGTGCACTTCACAGCTTTTACATGAATAGGTTCAGTTCGTTCATAATGCTCTACGTGAAGCAGTTCACGTTCAAAGTTCCCCATTTTTAATTCCTGAACTATGTTCAGAAGTTCAGATCATTTTCTTTTTTGGAGATACTTATATACAAATTTTTTCACAATACGAGCTATATATATATATCTAATTATATTAATATAAGCTAATTTACGCTCCTCACAGCAGCAGTCGAATGCTCATTGATTGAATGTATTTCAAACGTTCTACCAGTCATTATTTTCTATAACGGACCTCTCAAAACAATAATGACCCGGAATGATGTAACAAGTATGATACAGAAGTTTGTCACTGAATACAGAGCAGAGGAAATGAGCAAATTATCTGCAAATATAGTATGCACTGCAAAAATGAGGAAAAGTGAGTCAAATATGAACAAAAAGGATCTTAATATAAGCACATTCTGACTGCCTTAAAGCAATATTTGCCAATGGGACAAGGCTAAATGATATATACGTTTAAAAATACAAGAAGAGTCTCCCTTGGAATGATAAAATACAGCAACAGTTCTTGAAATTAGACTGAATGGCTTTGTCTCGTTGGCAAATCTTGTTTAAGACAGTCAAAATGATCACCTCATATTTGAACATTGTTTGGTTTTCGATTTTGTTTCAGCGTCAGAGTTTATTCTACAGTCACCAATAAAGACTTCAATTTACCATGAAAATAATGAACATTTCACAACATAGGGTGCTTAAATTACCACCCCACAATTATCATAGGTCTCGGGTGTTTGGCCGCACCTTTTTAATTTTCGCACCTGAAATCTTGTTTTTTAACCCTTGTATTATGTTGAAAAAAAATGACATTGATTATGTTGCGGGTCATTTTGACCCGTACTGTGTAAATGCACTCAAAACAGTCAAGAAAACAGGTTAAACCAATAAAAACTTTATCTTAGGTTATATAAATATTTAGAAAAGTGACATACAATACATTTTTAATTCCAACGCTATATTTAAGAAATATTTAGTCTAATCCTCTTGTCCTCCTCTCGGGTCAAAATGACAATTCTTTCCTCCTGCCATGCTTTCTCCTTCCTTTTTCTCATCCTGTTTTCCTTCTCTCTGTTCATCCTCATCTATTCCCTTCTTTCCTTCCTACCTTCCGTCCGTCCTCCCTTCCTCTTTCCTTGACCAAAGATTCGTCCTCTGAATCCTCCTTATTGTAGGAAAATTGACAATCTGGATCAGCAATAACATTGTCCTCTGTCTCTGAAAAATCCTCTGTTTCTGAAATCTCTTCCTCTACATCATTATCCCAGTTAAAAATCTGTGATAAAGCCTCCTCAGATGTCATCCTTCTGAAGCTCATTTTTGGTGAGTTTGTCTAAAGCCTAGCGCACATCGACAAAGTAACTGGAGACAACTAGTTTCAAGGCGGCTTTTGGAAACTGAGAGTAGATGACGGAGATGATCAGTTGCCGAAATCGGTCGATGTGAGCGCTCTTACAACTGGAGATAAACAGTCGATCTCCGGTTTCAGTCAGTTGCCCGTGTTCTACTTTTCGGCAACTAGTTGTCCTCAGATCCGGAGATATCACCCGATGTGATACATACATACATACAAGGGTTAATAAGAAACAAGAAATGTCTCTCTTGGAATGAGGAAATAAAGCAAAAGTTCTTGAAATCAGACTGAATGGCTTTGTCTCATTGGGAAATATTGTTTTAAGAAAGTCAGAATGTGCACAAATTTAGATAAAACCACTTAATTTTTACCTCTTATTTTATTATTATTTTTTGCAGTGCGTGATCACGCACTGTCTCATTGTCACCGTCTACTTTCTTCTATTTAAAGTTCACTATTGACCTTGACATTTTTTGTTCATCATAAACAAGAACACTAAGAGATAAGAGATGAAAATAAGACTGAATCTAAATTTGAGCTCGTTCTGACTGCCTTAAAGGAGCAATATGTAAAAATCTGGCCAAAAGTGGTACTGCAACCTCTCCCACTCTCCCTAATTCAGGTTGCCAGATATGCAGTTCTGGCAACCCGGATCACAGACTTTCTGACAAAACGGTGGGAGACGGGACATCAAAATGAAAACAATAACAAGATTTAAGGGCCGTTACTTTAATTTTGAAATTAAAATACCTCTGAACTACTGTTATCAGTAATTTGAAAAGTATTTGAAAAGAGCAGGTTTATTAATGCCTTTTGACATATTAGGGCCATTTAATGATGACTTGACCTGAAAATCTTACATATTGCTACTTTAACACAAGATTTGGCAATAGGACAAAGCAAAATGACCTTGTTTTTAAAAGATACAAGGCATTTGATTTTGAAAAACAGCTATCTTATTTTAGTATATTTTTTAAATTGTTCCCAGAATCTCATTTCTAACACGTAATATTCACAGTAAATGCAGTTGTGCCTAAATGACTGGTGGTTTGTATTCTGTGTACCTATCTGTCTATCGCTCTGCACCTTCCCCTATCTCCTCAGACAGCACGGCTCCGTAATGAAGCAGGAACAAAAGTAATTTAGAGTTTGCAAGGCTTTGGAGAGTGGAGGGTTAGGGGGATTCGGTTCAGGGTGGACCTGGCCCCATCACTATTCATGAGAGTGGAGAGGAATGTTGAAACCCCACCAGAGCTGCACGTCTGACATACCTCTGCAAGCCTCCTGTCTTCTTTTCTTCTTTTTGTCTTGCTCTGCTGCAGTGATTTATTCATTTGCTATATCAAAGATTCCCCCCGGTGACGAGCGGACGTGTGTGGGCCATGTGGCGTGCCCACGTGTTTGTGCAAGTGAGCATTAAGTGTAGCATTTATGGACTGGTGGGTGGATAAATGTGTTACTGCCGTTCAGCCATGAGAGAAAAGAGAGGGACTATAAACGGTAAACACTGGGCTTGTGCTTTAATGAGACGGGCAGGGAGGTGGAGCAGCTAACATGCTAATAGCCCGCTACTGTTTAGAGAGATATCTGTACATTATTGTCGCACCTTTGTTGACTTGGCATCCATGTTGGCATACAGAGTAGGATATCAAAGAACCCGAGCCATCAGCAAGTCTCTCTCTCGCTCTGGTCTCTCTCTCAGGTCTCTCTCAGGTCATTATCTGGTCTCTCTCTGGTCTTTCTTTCCGGTCCCTGCTTTCTCTCTCTCTGGTCTCTCTCTGGTCTCTCTCTGGTATCTCTCTCTACTGTCTCTTTTTGGTCCCTCTCTGGTCCCTCTCTCTGGTCTCTCTCTCTGGTCCCTCTCTTTGGTCTCTATCTCTGGTCTCTTTCTAGTCTCTGTATTTGGTCTGTCTCTGGTCTCTCTCTGCGGTCCCTCTTTGCTCTCTCACTCTGGTCTTTCTCTCGGCTGTCTCTTTCTAGTCTCTCTCTCTGGTCCCTCTCTCTGATCTCTCTCTCTCTGGTCTCGGTATCTGGTCTGTCTCTGATCTCTCTCTGGTCTCTCTCTCTGGCCAGTGAGGCTAATCTCAAGAAGACATTGCTGACTGTGGATTATTCCATAACCATGGATATGCATATGTAGTTTGTTGCACTATCTTATGGCAATACGAAAAGTCGTTTGAGCAGAATTAACGCTGTTCAAATAAATAAATAGTATATAAAAATGTACCCTTTAGAGCTGCAGTTTGCTCACGCCTCTCCTCTCTCTGCAGACACGGCACAGTTGGCCGAGGTGATCCTGACCTCAGCTGTCATCAGTGAGGCTGAAGGTCCTCCTGCCCCGTGGGTGGAGTTCTGCTCCTGTCCTGTGGGCTTCATGGGGCAGTTCTGTGAGCAGTGTTCTAGAGGATTCACCAGGGAACACCCGGGAAGAGGACCTCTCTCAGCATGTGTCCCCTGCAACTGCCACCAGCACGGGACATGTCACCCAGAGACCGGTAAGACCCTCACTGTCAAATGCTTTTTTATCTAATACAAACATGAGATATGAATTTGTGTTCTGGTGCACACTGGGTTAGTCTTGCACAGTTTTTCCAATGTGGTTTTACTGCATATGGCAAATAAATTCTTGTATCTTGTATCTTGTTGTAATAATAATAATATTCATCATAATACATCAAACTAAATATGTTAGTGAAATGGATAAAAACAGAATGTTGGCAATAATAAAGGGACAGTTTCTGGTCTGTCATTAACTCAGATCAGACTGTGAACAGACAAACAGAATCAAAATGGGAACAATATCTAGGCCGAACAATCACCATTTCAGAATGGAAACCAATATGGAGGAATATAACCAAAATATCAAAATCAATAAAAATGAGGATGATACAATTCAGAATATTACATTGACCTTGGGAGGTTGTGGTCAAAGGGGAACATTAAAATGATTGTCGGGAGTTTGTCAGAAAGAGAGAGAGAGAGGTGCTTGATTTGAAAAAAACGACACAAGCTCCCTCCCGCTTCCTTTCTGATTGGTCTACGCCTACGTTTCCGTAACACATTTAAATGTTAATCAGAGAACACATTATACATATACATTATTAATACACATGCACGGAGGTTTTCAAAATTATTTGTTAACGTGTTAGCAAAAAAACGATCGCGGCAAACCCGGAAGAAGCTATTATCATGAATTGCACATTATAGGACAAATCTGCAGAGGATCTGATTATGGATATATGTTCAGTATATAAATGATTATGGATATAGGTTCAGTATATAAATGATTATGGATATAGGTTGAGTATATAAATGATTATGGATATAGGTTCAGTATATAAATGATTATGGATATAGGTTCAGTTTATAAATGATTATGGATATAGGGTCAGTATATAAATGATTATGGATATAGGGTCAGTATATAAATGATTATGGATAATTATGGACTTCTTTGTTCAGTTTTCATGTAGTTCCAGAGCCTAATAAAGGCTTGATTCGGAGGCTCCGCGAAAACAAACAACTGAGCATGAGCAGCTACGAGCATGAGCAGCTACGAGCATCAGCGCGATGATTGACAGCCCTTGGCATCACTCGATTGGTTAACGTGGACGGCACCGTGGATTCTGAGCTATAGCTAAGAGAAGGGAAGGCGGGACTTAACTGTAATATTAGAATTAATAAAATGACTTATTTTATAACAACATTTAAGGCCAGGAGGTCAATTTACTACAATTCTTAAAATGTGTAATTATTTTAGAGTTACATACTATCACTTTAATATATATGCTTTGGTACTGCCCTGATATTACACATTTCTGGACACAGATAATAAATGCAATCTCTAAATTATTAAATATTAACCTGTGCCCTTGCCCAGCGACTTGCTTACTCAGATCCAGAGCTACTCAATTGAAAAACAAACAGAACTGTAAGATAGCTATTATAGCTTTCATTGCGACTAAAAGAACAATAATGATGAATTGAAAACATAGTAAATTAAACTGTTTTGCAATAAAAAAATGGATACACAAATTTACAGATTTACTGGCCATGGAAGAAATTATCAACAACGATGATATGGATCTGGATCTTGAGCAACTCATCGCTGGGTTTGGATTTCCTTCTTTATCAAAGGTGCTAAATAAATAAAAAATATGATATTCTGTATGCTTAACGCCTGTTGATGACGTATCGTGTCTGGGCTTGAAGAAGATGACATAGTCTGGGATCGCGTCTTTCATTCAGACAGAAGACATTTTTTATTGTCGATGGTAGAGACAGCACGAACAACAGAATGCAAGTGTATTATACAGAGCGGAGGCATGGAGACCTCCAATCAGCAGCTGCCACAGTGCCATGTAGCTTGGCCTTCAGATAGACAAAACAAGGGAAAAGTACAGGCTTCTGCACATTGATAGAATGATGAGTTTAACTTTAAAAAAAGTTGCTTAAAAGTGTTATGAAATCTCACAGGCTCCAGGACTGCTTGTTGACTGTATATTTCGACAATTACAGAGGTATTTACGTCTTTTTGTCATGGAAAGACTGTGATGTTAACTCCCCCCCTCTCGTTTGGAGAGGTTTTGTGTCTTGTCGTGTCCTGTAGTTTGTTGTATTTTTTTTCTTTTTTTTTTCAAGGTTCTGTCTCACAGGACTGAAGCTCTGTAGACCAGGACTGAGGCTTTGTAGACCCCAGGGACCTCGAGGCGTAGACCCAGGACTGAGCCAGTTGTGTTTTATTTTTTTATCTATTTATTTTACTACACAAAATATTAATAGAAAGGAGGCCTGTAGACCCGTGACAGTGGTGTTAGACCCGGTACTGAGGCTGTAGGACCAGTCCTGGGTCTACAGACTGAGGCTGTGACAGGACTTAGGTATAGACCCAGGACTGAGGCTATAGGGACCCAGGACTGAGGCTATATACAGGACTGTGGCTGTAGACCCAGGACTGCGCTGTAGAACCAGACTGATGGCTGTATCCAGGGATGAGCCTGTAGACCAGGACCTGAGGCTCTAGGACCCTAGGACTGAGGCTTGTAGATCCAGGATCTGAGGCTGTAGACCCAGGACTGAGGTGTAGACCCAGGGACTGAGGTTAGACCCTGGACCCTGAGGCTGTAGACCCTGGGGACTGAGGCTGTTGACCCAGGAACTGGAGGTATAGACCAGGACTGAGGCTGCTAGAACCAGGACTGAGGCTATAGACCCAGGACTGAGGCTGTAGACCCAGGACTGTGCTGTAGACCCAGGACTTAAGGCTGTCGACCCAGGACTGAGGCTGTAGGGGACCCAGGGCTGAGGTTTTAGACCCAGGAAAAAAACCTGGGAGGCTATAGACCCATGTATTGAGGCTGTGGACCAGAGGACCTGAAGCTTCTGGACCCAGGGAATGAGGCTGTAGACCCAGGACTGGGCTGTATCCCAAGGACTGAGGCTTATAGACCCAGGACTGAGGCTGTAGACCCAGGACTGGGCTGTAGACCATGGATGGATAGCTGTAGACCAGGGGACTGAGGCTGTAGACCCAGGATTAGGCTATTAGACCCAGGACTGAGTCTGTAGACCCAGGACTTGCAGCCTGTAGACCAGGACTGAGCCTGTAGACCCAGGACTGAGGCTGTGACCGGAGGGACTGAGCCTTGCTAGACCCAGACTGAGGCTATAGACCAGGGGCCTGAGGTTGTAGAACCCAGGACTGAGGTTTTAGACCCATGGCTGAGGCTGTCGACCCAGGACTGAGGCTGTAGACCCTGGACTGAGGCTGTAGATTCAGGAAAGACGGCTGTGGACCCATGTTACTGACGGCTGTTATCAGGACTGAGCCTGTCAGACCAGGACTGAGGCTGTGGACCCGGACTGAGGCTGTATGCCAGGACTGAGTCTGTAGGACCCAGGAATGAGCTCTAGACCCAGCGAACTGAGCTGTAGACAGACTGAGACTTCTACCACCAGGACTGAGGCTTTTGACCAGAGATTGAGGCTGTGGACCCAGGGACTGAAGCTCTGAGACCCAGGACTGAGGCTGTAGACACCGGGACTGAGGCTGTAGGACCCGGATGAGCCTGTAGACCCAGGAAGAGGCTTCTAGACACAGGACTGAGCCAGTGACCCAGGACTGAGGGCTTTAGACCCAGGATTGAGGTGTGGACCAGGACGAGGCGGTAGACCCAGGACTGAGGTTTTGACACTGCACTGAGGCTGTAGACCCAGGACTGAGCTTATAGACCAGGGCTGAGGCTGTAGACCCAGGGACTGAGGCTCTAGACCCAGGACTGAGCTGCAGACCCAGACTGAGGCTGTAGACCCAGGCACTAAGGTGTAGACCAGGACCTGAGGCTCTAGACCCAGGCTGGGCTGTAGACCCAGGACTGAGGCTTTAGACCCAGGATTGAGGCTGTGGGACCCAGGACTGAAGCTGTAGACCCAGGACTGAGGCTGTAGACCCAGGGACTGAGGCTGTATCCCAGACTTAGGCCTGTAGACCCGGATGCGGCTCTAGACCGGAGACTGGGCTGTAGACCCAGGACTGAGCCTGTAGGACCTAGGACTGAGGTGTATGACCAGTACTGGGCTGTAGACACAGGACTAAGGCTGTAGACCCAGGACTGTGGGGGAGGGGGGTGTCGGTGGGGTGGGGGGGGTGCCTGTAGATCCAGGACTGAGGCTGTAGACCAAGATGAGGCTGCTAGACCAGGACTGGCTGTAGACCCAGGGACTGAGGCTGTAGGCACAGGACTGGAGCTCTAACACCAGGACTGAGGCTTTGACCAAAGGATTGAGGGCTGTGGACAGGGACTGAAGCTCTGAACCAGGACTGAGGCTGTAGACCAGACTGAGGCTGTAGACCCGGGACTGAGCTGTAGACCCAGGACTGAGGCTCTAGACCCAAGGATGAGGCTGTAGACCCAGGACTGAGGCTCTAGACCCAGACTGAGGCTGTAGACACAGGACTGAGGCTGGTAGGACCCTGACTGAGGCTCTAGACCCAGGACTGAGGCTGTAGACCCAGGACTGAGGCTGCAGACCCAGGGACTGAGGCTCTAGACCCAGGACTGAGGCTGTAGACAGGAAGCTGAGGCTGTCGATCCAGGGACTGAGCTGTAGACCCAGGATGAGGCTCTAGACCCTGGACTGAGGCTGAGACCCAGGCTGAGGCTGTGGACCCAGACTGAAGTCTGGACCCAGGGACTGCGGGCTCTAGACCAGGACTGAGGCTGTAGACCCAGGACTGTGGCTGTAGGAACCAGGGAATGAGGCTTATAGACAGGGACTAAAGCTCTGGACCTGGACTGAGGTGTAGACTATGATGCGGTTTTCAGACCCAGGGTGAGGTCTGTGACCCAGGATGAGGCTCTAGACCCAGGACTGAGGCTGTGGACCAGGACTGGATGCTCTGGACCCAGTAGATGAGGCTGTAGACCACGGACTGAGCTGTAGGACCCAGGACTACTGAAGCTCTGCACCCAGGACTGAGGCTGTTAGGACCCAGGACTGATTTCAGGCGCCTGTAGACCAGAGGACCTG